TATATAATCATTATAAAATATTCAACAAATCTTATAATCAAAGTGCAAAATCCAGTTATTTATATGAAATGTCTGCAATGAATTTTCAAGTACTGGCTCCCCCCCCCGCTTCACCTCCTTCCGCCTCGCCACCCATGCGCCCTTCCTTCTCCCCCACTCTCCTAGCCTACATTGCCCCTCCTTGCCCTTCCCTACGTCATCCTGCGCCTCCTACGTCATTACGGGCTTCYCCGAGCGCATATTATAATATATATATATACATACTCTATACATACTATGGTATATACCTATATATACTAAAGTATATACTCTAAACACAGTTTAGTTATATATAGTAATAGTATATATTATACTGTGTAGCATAAGACAATATTATATATATATATATATATCGATGTGCTGAAAAATTATATCGTATTCATCCCACATGATCAGCGGGAATGTGCATACGCGTCGCATTCGAGTGAAATCAGTACTGAGGATTTTATTATTAATATTAAATATAATAATATAATATAATATATAGAATTTGGTTATCCACCGCCGTCGCCCATGCTTTACGCATCAGACGGTTTTTAGAGCTCGGTAGTGTTTAACGTCTTAATTACAGTCTTAGACCTGGTCATATTTCCAAACGTTTATATGTTAAATTCTGTGCGCGTAAAAATATCGTAAAAATGTTCGACTGTGTAACGCGTGGAAAAGTTTTTACCCATAAGCGTGGTTTGAACAGACATGCGAAAATCCACGACGGATCGACGATTTCATGTGGGATATGTGCAAAGGTTTTTACGCAGCAGAGCAACCTATCATGGCACACCAAGAATGTCCACCGCAGTAAGTACATTATTACAATGCACACTTTAACTATATATATATATATAGGTATTTAATTTAACTATTTCCGAATAAACAGAGATCACTAGTCATACTAACGATGGCCTCAATGCGGTTCGAATAGGCGGTGCAATGGGTAAATTTTTAAAATCTCATTAAATAATAATAATAATACAATTTTAATAATTATTATTTAATAATTCGTGTTAGATCGTCCGACGGTTATAAACTGGGCGCCCGCACTCACAACCGTTGTACCGCGCGCCCAGTCAGCTGTAATAGTAGCTGCTGTTGCTGTCCCGTCTCCGACGGCCACCGCTATCACGAATCGGCGCGTGCACGCAGCTGGCTTGTCTCGTGCCTCCACGGTATCAGCCGTCGGCGACGTGCCGGTTATCACTGCTATGTCGGATGCCTCCAATCGAACATTCGAGCGTGATAACGCGCGCCCACCGCCTACACCGATTACATCCTCAATACCGGCGAAAATGAAGGTATCCATGAATGTATATCATTCGATTTCGATCCGATCAACCTTTCCCATGTCGATCACCCGCTGCATTGGATATAACATATGTATCAGATACCGAGATAGTGCAACTCAGTAAGACTTATTTGATATATACAAATAAAAAATACTATGGTTTTCTAAACCCGTACATAATATTTTTCCAGATGAAGCTCAATCGTGGCACCTATTTGACGAAGATGAAGTTCATTGGAGAAAAAAAATGTTACAAAGATTTCAATGGGAAACTTTAAGAAAAAAAGCCCTTTTGAAAAAATACCATAAATATATCAAATAAAATTTTTTGTTTTTAAATAATGTTGTTTTACCTATAGAATATGAGATAACACTATTATATTATTATCATTATTAAAATCATCTGTAGTGTTRGCGACTATTTCACACCAATTTATGACATTAATATAATAATAATAATAATCCGTATTATTATTATCATTATAGTGTTAAGATGAAATATAATATAAGTAAAACAATTTTTATAAGACCTCTATAAAATATATTAAAATATCCTTGTAGAACATTTTTTTCTAGAAAATAGTATATCTATTAATAAGATATTAATAAATTCGTAAGTAAATATTAAATAGAATGTTTTTATATCGAACTAACTTATACCACTATGAATATTAGATAAAACCATATTATACCATCATACTACGTGATAAATATAGAATACTTATATATTCATAATATGTGTATATTAAACCTATATTATTTTTAAATGAAAAGTATTTGACTTTTTAAAATTATTACTAATGTAACATTAAAATAAAATAAATTAAAACGTATTTCAATGCATAAAAATTTTTTTTTTATTTATTTTTTTATTACAAGTTATTACTTAGTTATTCAAAGTCTATAATAAATCTCACGTTGCTCTTTCCCCTGAAAATAAGTGATACGAGTGATATCCCCACTATTATAATCACTTATTTCCTGTATAGTAATTTGTATGTATTTCGGTAAAAATACATTAAGCKTACCCCCCGTTACATTATCCATCAGCTTGCACGCTATGGCGGCCCCGAATTTGGTGTCAACGCCGCTCATTGCCTTGATAACATAGCTCCGGTTTATCTCGAGATCATCGATTGATTGATTAGTATTGACAGCCTGGGACTTAAGCGATTGTAGAAATGCCATTTTGCTAATGTTAAAAAAAAAAAAAATAATAATAATAAATAAATAAAATAAATCATTTACATACTTGCAGGGGCGTTATATAGGATATTCAGTTACATTAAGTATAATATAATATAATTATGTAACATGTGATAAAATATTATAATATGAAAAACAGTCAAACAT